TCACGTCATCATGCATGTCATGTTTTTGAAAAAGGAAGATATTTTTTCTACATGTATATTCTACGTGTCGTTTTGTAGGTGACGCTACGTGGGTATTTCTGCATGCTAAACAATGCACCAGTTACCTGGTTGCCTGATCATTCTTTCAAGAAGAAAGTGTAGTGGTGTATTTCACTCTTTGTCCAGACTCACTTTTTGCTGTGATTATCGGCAGTCAGTTGCAGTTGTTGTTTTCAGTATTTCAGGCGAGTGGACTTCAACATCATCAGCTTGATAATAATCATTTTCATTCAGGTTTTCACTGGCATTGTGGCAAGTAATTACCCCGTTCGCCGGGGCGTTTGCTGTTGGATGTGATGGCTATGGAGGAGGTCAGATCCAGGCTTGCGTTCCCTTCAGCCTCCATTCAAACGTCGGTAAGGAGAAGGCTGTTATAAACTTATTTGTTGTGTTTTCAGTAGTATAAATAAAGCGTGGCCATTTGAAATTTTGAAACCGTGATTTCCCGCTCTTGGCCCACATTCACAACACAGCGAGGAAATTCCTCGCTATGTCCTCGCTGTCGCTGTGTTGTGAATGTGAGCGAAGAGCGCAAAGTGGAGTGGTGGAGTGTTTCATAATAACAGTTGTCACCATGAAATTCAAAGTACATTCTCCAAATGGTGCGTCGAAATCAATAAAATGCTACACTGGGTCATGTGGCACATTTCCAATAAAATCAATTCTGCATACTGTAAAAGCCATTATTCTAACGAGGCGCATATAAACGATTTCCTAAAATTGACCAGTTTGCGTGTACCAACGGTAGCGATTCTCACTCATTCTCAACGCTCAATAGCAACACTATGTTTGTTTGTTTGTTTATTTTATTTTACTTCACCAAGTGAACAAGCATTTCTGCCTTCTCACCAGGTCCAGAGACCTAGTTCCGACAAAATGATGAAGAGTAAATGAAAATGTATGTATAAGGTCAGCGTGTGGGTGGTGTCAGCTGATATTTGAGAGCAGGAGAGTTGTGTGCAGAATCCTATAAGTATACCGTAAAGTACCGCCAGAGCGCCCCGTCTCGCGAGAGCACCCCACCTTGATTTTACAGCCAGGAGAAGAAAATCGTATGGCAGAATGCTACTAAGTTTGCACGGTGTGAGTACCGTAGTATGTTTTAAGGTCACACTTGGCATGTTTTTATGTGGAGCTCGCATACGCTCGAAGGTAAACTGGGTACGGATTGACTGCGCAACGTTAAGTGTGTGTACACGGTCCTTGTCGTATGACCTCCATACAGGAAACCACCTCCACGAAGGACGAGATGGTGGGGCGCTCTGGCGGTACTTTACGGTACTAGTAACCATTTGTTTTGGTGTCTCCTTCTCCAGGCTATTGCTCGTATAGACTCACTTATCACCGCCACTGCTCCAATTGATTCAGCGTCACAAGTGAGTTGTTTGAACATTGCTGCTGTACTGCTGATAGCTTGTGTGCCCGGTCATGGCCTGACCAACCTGACCTATTCCGCCGGGCCGCCCTTTATGTGTGTGTGTGTGCGTGCGTGTGTGCGTGTGTGTTGGTTGTCTGGAGTGTGGACTATTGCATTCCTGGTTGCGTTCTATTCTCGGTACCCCATTGAAAACATGGGCATTGGAATCTATTATGTAGCTGAAAGTGGCCTTTCTCCAAATTTGGAGCTTTTTGCCGGTGATTCCGGACTTTCCTCTCAAACCCGTTACACTGTACAGCAGGGCCAAATTTTCCGAGTCACTGCTTGCGGGTGCCAGCGGCCTACCAGCAAACCAAGCATCGAAATCAATATTAATCCCCTCTCTCTCTCTCTCTCTCTCTCTCTCTCTCTCTCTCTCTCTCTCTCTCTCTCTCTCTCTCTCTCTCTCTCTCTCTCTCTCTCTCTCTCTCTCTCTCTCTCTCTCTCTCTCTCTCTCTCTCTCTCTCTCTCTCTCTCTCTCTCTCTCTCTCTCTCTCTCTCTCTCTCTCTCTCTCTCTCTCTCTCTCTCTCTCTCTCTCTCCATGTGCTTTGTTTTCTAGCTCACACCGGAGCTGCAGCTTCTCCTGGACAGCTGTGGACATGAGGGCGTGACTGTCGTGTCCGCATGCTGCGATGTACTGTTGCGACGTGTCCGTAGCGGCCAGTGGTTAGCACAGATTGTTACACAGCGACTGCTTAGTATCCTCTCCTCTGCCAGGTGAATACTTGCTTTGTTCTAGGACTATTGCCTGTAGCTTGCAAGAGAAACTACAGCACTGTAAAACCAGTAATGTTTACGAACATTTAAAGGGGAAGTTAAGGCAAAAATTAAAATTTCACCAGTTGTAGTCTTCGGGGTGCTGAGTCGAATGGTCTTGGTCCGAGAAAGCTGAGACGCTCCCTTCCTACTTGAATCCCAATCGAACTCGCGCACTTCCACCGAAACTGGGTGACTGCGCCCTACGAGATGGGGATTTGTATGCAAAATGTCACTAAAAGCGCCATTTCGTTCTTATAAAAGCACGGATGACCGCGATTGGCCCATATGTTGTAGTCTTTTGGACGCTGAGTCGACTGGTTTTGGTCCGAAAAGGCTGCGATGCAGCGTTCCTCCTTTATTCCCAATCGAACATGGTTGAAGAAGCGGTCACGTGCTCCTGGGTGCCAAAATCACCTGGTCACCACGCCAGCAGGCGACAACTTTCACACCAAGGTTCAACTCGAGTGACAGGACTGCACCCAAAAAAGGTCAAAACAGGCTGTAAGTTGTACCCTGCAGGCACGGTGACCAGGTGACTGGTGTACGCAGGAGCACGTGACCGCTTGTTCAACCATGTTCGATTGGGAATTAGGGGCGAACCCTGCATCGCAGCCTTTTCGGACCAAAACCAGTCGACTCAGCGTCCAAAAGACTACAACATATGGGCCAATCGCGGTCATCCGTGCTTTTATAAGAACGAAATGGCGCTTTTAGTGACATTTTGCATACAAATCCCCATCTCGTAGGGCGCAGTCACCCAGTTTCGGTGGAAGTGCGCGAGTTCGATTGGGATTCAAGTAGGAAGGGAGCGTCTCAGCTTTCTCGGACCAAGACCATTCGACTCAGCACCCCGAAGACTACAACTGGTGAAATTTTAATTTTTGCCTTAACTTCCCCTTTAATTCTAACGAGTTAAAGGGGAAGTCCGGTGAAAAATTTAAATTTCACAGTCCGTAGAGTTCGGGGCGCTGAGTCGAATGGTCTTTGTCCGAGGAGGCTGTGGCCTATGGTTCGTCAGATACGCCCAATCGAACATGTGCGAATTTGAGCGCGCATCACCCGGATCCAGGTGATGACGTCACAGCGTGCAGCCAGGTAGCCACACCATCAAGTTGTGTACAAAATGGCCATATTCGGAGCGCGTTCGATTGGGGTACCGTTTGTCGCAGCTTCTTCGGACCAAGACCATTCGATTCAGAGTTACAAACACTACGTACACTGTGATTTTCAGCTCGGTAAACCTCGAGGTTATACCGTATTTTAGCAGTTTCCGAGTTGGACTTTTTCCGTCGGCATGCGCCTCTACGGCTCTAGCAATGCGCTGCGTGCATGCTAGCTGTATAGTGCAGTCAACAAACTCAGCACACACGGAACTACAGTACGAATACTCCCGCACTGCCGTGCTGGGGTAGTAGCTACAAGTACAACAAGACTCGTCTCGAGTCACAAGACTCGGAAAACTAGTCAACACACGGACTTGTCATGTACTACACTCATATCAGTCGTATTGTACATGTACATGTACAGTCATGCAGTCAGAGAACGAGCGTTTCTCCTTGCCGGTGCCGGTGGTTGTGCTTTGAGAAAGAAAATTTTAGTTTTCCGCTCCCGCCTCATTATTTTATGCTACAGCGATGAGTGCACAACCGTGACAAGTGACAAAACAGCGAACGGCTCCCGGACCTAGAACTTTCAGATTCCGTAGCGTTGCGAGCGAAGAGTCGTGCCCGTGGTTCAAAGAGCCTGCACTGTTCTCCAATTGAGTAGCCCGAAATATGCCAAGTTCGCACCAAAACATCACCATGTGGCAGGCTACTGGAGTCTAAGCGAATCGGTATGGAACAACATTTAGAGCACTCGCATCACTCTTCTCCATTTTGGCGACTCTGCTCTCCAGCAATCTGATAATTATATCAGCCTCGTCTGCAATAGCTGCTGCTTCTTCATCAGTCGGAAACTCAGTAGCGCTCACTCTTGACCGGCGGGTACCGAGGTTCTCAGCCCCAGAACGAACTCATGAAGGTCAGCCATGGCTCCATCCTCACTCTCACAAGAGTTACATCTTCGGGGTCGCTTGCACCACCTAATAATATCGGTCGCCAAATCATTTGAAATAGCACTGACACTATTGCTTTCACGCACTCCTTTTGACCTAGCTGCACGCTATGACGTTGCGGAGGGTGTGGCGCGGCCGCATGACGTCATGGCAAGCCCCCGAAACTCAGTTTTCAAACGGAGATATCTCGAGAACGCTTTGTCGGAGAAACGTGGAACCAACACTATTCGACTCAGCGCCCGAAACTTTACCGACCCTGAAATTTAAATTTTTCACCGGACTTCCCCTTTAACGAAATTAAAAGATTCGTTAACATGTGAAGTCGTTATGTGCAAAACGATATCAAGAGTACATAACCCCCCAGAGTGTGCAACGCCCGATCCAGCTCTGCATAGGGTCTTGGTCGAGCGTAATCGGATCTTTGTGTCATAATACCGTATACATCTGAGGGGAACCCGGGGAGTCGCGGTGACTCTCGGATCAAAAACAACGATGCCCTGCCTCGAGTCCGGCCTTATGCTAGTGTGGAGTGTACGCATGACAGCAGAAGATCCGATTACGCTCGACCAAGACCCTATGCAGAGCTGGATCAGGCGTTGCACACTCTGGGGGGTTATGTACTCTTGACGATATGTACATGTACAGTCATTTGTCGGTTTTGAGACAGAATTCGTTAGAATTTCACCTCGCTAACCCACAAAAATCCGGAGATCGTTAACTGTAATTGACGTTAAAGTATCTGGTCTACAGTAAAACTCTCCTAATCGAGACGCCCCTAATCCGGGCACGTCCGTTTACCTGGCACCTTTCTGACTAATCTAGAGCCACAAAATTACGCTTTTTAAAACGAAGAACGGCCCCAAAACTATTGATTGGCGTAAAAAAAAAGCTTACTTTCATGCAGTAAGTACCGATGTGTGTGTTCTGTGTTACGGGAAAATCCCAGTGGCGAGCGGTGCTCGGTCCCAACCTGCCCGGATTGGGGCAGCTTTACTGTGCTCGGTCCCAACCTGCCCGGATTAGGGGCAGCTTTACTGTGCTCGGTCCCAACCTGCCCGGATTGGGGCAGTTTTACTGTAGTTTGTAGATGGGCAAAGTAGTCCCTAGTTACAAGTCTACCCTCGTTAGTAGATAACCCGGCTATGCTCGTCAACAGAGGTAGTATGCGCGGGCGAATCATCGAGATCAACGTCAATGTAAATATCAGAATCGAATTCAGCAGTTTGATAATTCTTCGGGACAGTTGTGGAATGAGGAAGAAAATTCTGTAGGCGAATCCAAACACGGCCAGCAGAGTCAGGAGTAGCCTCCACACTTGACATAACAGTGCTAAACTTGGAAATAAACTTCTCTGAGGGTGAAACAAAACCAGCAGAGCTAGGTAAATAATTATCATCGGTACGCAGCTGAGCTTGAACAATGACTTGTGTATATGCTGGTACAATAACCGAATTGGCAAGATGAACACGGCAGACTACAGGATTAGCATTATGGGTGGGCTCTAGGGGTACATCGACGCCGCCTGCATCGAGCATGTTGCGACCGAAATCAATTGTGCAGCCATGAGATTGCAAGAAATCAATGCCGATTAGCACATCGGGCATAATGTCAGCAACAATGACTCTGTGGCGTACAGCAAGCTTGCCAGTTGCTAACAATACGACAGCTTCCCCGAGCACAGGGACAGAAGAATTATTTACCGCTTTAAGAACAGTATCAACGGGTGAGATAGATAAATGAACATTGTGATGAGAGAGAGACTTAGCAAAGCTGGTGCTCAACAACGTTACACAACTGCCGGTGTCCACAAGCATGTTGGCTGGTACAGCCTCGACCGTGCCTTGGATCTGCACCGTGCTGTCGGACTGTGTTGCAAGACACGACAGAGGCAGGATGATCGAGTTGTCTGGGCACTCGGCTGGAGTAGTTGTGCAGGCCTGACAAGTTGTCTCAGTAGGTAAGCAGACAGCCTCATGACACACTGAACACGGCTGACTCTGCTTACCGGTACATGGGTCCATTGGGGAGGTTGCTGACGGCGGACCCTGGTTGTCAGCGACGCTCAGTTTCCCCGACCGCGTCCACGGCCCCGGTGACCACCACGGTTAGCCGGTGTGTATCTGTGGTGCGGACAGTCAGGTGCGAAATGCATTGTGCTGTCGCACACATAGCACCGCTTGGTGTCACCATCTCCATTCCGATGCAGATTAGTTGGTCTCTCCAGCGTGCGCCTTGAGATCTTGTCCTCCAGGGCTGCCATCCTCGACAGCAGGGCGTTGAGTGTAGGGTCACTGGGCTGAGATTGCACCGCACATATAACTGGGCTAGCTGCCTGCTGCTGGTCTGCCTCCAGGGTGCACTGAAAATGCATAGCTCGTCGCAGTGCATCATCCAATGTTGGTGGGTCCGTGCCACGAACATGCAGGCGCTGGTCCCTGCTGTCAAGGCCGGCTACAAAGGTGTCGCGCGCCAGGGTATCCTGCACTGCTCCGGCCACCGTGGGGTACGCCGTCTACTAAGCCTGCGGACGGCTTCCGCAAAATCCGACAGGGACTCGCCACGAATTTGCCGGCGTGACTTCAGCTCTGCTCTAGACGTGAGGATGAAGTTTGCATCCCCGAATCGCTGTTCAAACGCCTGCAGTGGCTGGTCGAATGGGCCCGTCCTTGTATTGGCTTCCAAACTTTGGAAGTAAGAAAGTGCGTGGCCGGTGAGGTACAACCCAATGTACCTGCTTTGGTCTGCCGGTGTCCAGTTGTTTGCATTCGCGATGAGGCGAGAATGGCCAATCCATGATGTCCAGTCGGCGTTGCCCGCATCTGCTGTTGTTGACGTGCTGGTTGTTGCGCTGGGCCTGGTGGTGGTGGTGGTGAAGGGGGCGGAGGAGCTCCACCTTGCTGAGCCATATCTACGCGATCAGTCTTCCACGAATAATTTGGTACACGTACTCTCACAAGACGTGGACTTCGAATTCGCTGCCACCACGTGTAACCTTGGCCTGAGGTTACAAGTTACATTCACAGGAGCATAAACTCCCCAGCTCCCAGCCAGGCACCAGTTCTAACCATGACAAGACGTCGAGATCAAAACTGCAACTCTCAAGTCCAAAAACATTCTCAAGAAGCAAAAGAAAAAACCAGCATCATAACAGAGCGAGCCAACGAAAGGATACGCACATGCGTGTGTGCCTGTGAGTTGTGTACGAATGATGTATGCATACATGTCATGAAGTAGAGTCACATTCATAGCTATAATTCAGAGTGGAAATATTACTACGCCAAACGGAACATGTGCAACATGTTACACATTCATGAGTGATCGGCGGTATGGCTGTTCCAGATTGAGCCTTTGACAGTGCAGTTTCGGTTGTGGGAGTGCTATTGGAGTAGATTGTGCTTTGTTCTGACCCTTTCTCTCTCTCTCTATCTCTCTCTCTCTCTCTCTCTCTCTCTCTCTCTCTCTCTCTCTCTCTCTCTCTCTCTCTCTCTCTCTCTCTCTCTCTCTCTCTCTCTCTCTCTCTCTCTCTCTCTCTCTCTCTCTCACGCACGCACGCACACACACTCATTCTCATTCTCTTGTTCACACACTCTCCATGCTCAGATGTCCATGGATCATCACTGGCACTATTTTGAGTTTGTTGGTGGAGTCTGACAACAATTTCTGGTCACTCAGCAGCTCATCAAAGTCCACTGGGTGAGTGCGTATCCACACACGCACTCTCGAACTCGCACCCCAGTGACCTTATGTACCCTTTCCCGCTCCCTGAGTCTCAAGCGCTAAGCCACTGGCCCTGTGCTGACCCCGCACATGTTCCCGCTTTCCTGTAATATTCGTTATACTCCATTGGCCTGGGCTGGGTAGCTGCATTTGCGCTCATCATCCATATTTGTCATAGCTACCCAGGCCCCGTATTTAGCCTCTTGCCAGTCCTTTTGCTGCCTCTCCTTTCCTTGCCGTTGCGCTCCAGACAAGACCTCCTCTCTTCCATGAGCTGTGAAGCAGCAGTGTGAACTACAGTTGCGCTGGGTAAAATTCAACCCAGAGTGCACCTTTGGTGCCTTCATTTTTGCACAGCCCTTGACGTCCTGGAAGTGGCACGAATACGGCTGAACATACACATGTACGAATACAATGATGTAACACCAGTTTGGCACTTTGGGTCGGATTTCAGCGAGCGCAGCTGAAGTTTACACAGTGTCTTGTGTTATTATTTGCAACACTCTGCTAGAGACTTTGGCTGGATTGGATTGCGCCGGCTTTGCTGTACATTCAATCCTGCTGGCTGTTTTGTCCCGTTCGTTGTGTGCTTTTGGGCCTGACGTGCGTGCTTGTGTGTATACGTGTGTTTTGTGTGTGTGTGTGTGTGTGTGTGTGTGTGTGTGTGTGTGTGTGTGCGTGTGTGTGTGTGTGTGTGTGTGTGTGTGTGTGCGTGCGTGTTTGTGTGTGGGTATGTGTCCGTCTGTTTGTGTGTCTCTGTGTGCATGTGTGTGTGCGTGTGTGTGTGTACGCGTGTGTGTGTGCGCGTGCGTGTGTGTGTACATGTATGCATGTGTGTGCACGTGCGGATGCGTCTGCTTCTTCTCCTTCTCAGCCATGGCGGCTCACATCCACTGGTGTCTGCTTTCAAGTACTCGTCGAGTGCCCGAGTGGCAGTGGTGCATGCACTGCGTCACCTTCTCTCCAGGGTGCACAGCAGTACGGCTACTACCCACACGCAGCAGCAAAGACTGTGGAGCATTGCCGAGCCCGTCGTCCAGTTCATTCTCTATAAGAGCGTGGGCTGTGAGTATCGCGAGAGGCTGGTGGAGATCCTGGTCGACAGCGCTCTAGAGTCGATGCAAGCCGACACCGTCGGCGTAGCACCAAATGGAAATGGCGTTGCGTCGCATGAGAACGTTGGTGCGCTGCCGCATGAGAATGGAAGCAGCAGGCCTGTGTGTCACGTTGTCAAACTGCTCATTGACTGGCTGTGTAGTAGGAATATGTCAACCTGTGAGTCCAGTATGAGCGCTCTGCACTGCTATCGCAGAGTCCGGAAGCTAGTGTGGCGATCACTCAGCGTGGCAATTGACGAGGAGTCCGTAGATTCCGCGTGTCAGTTATCCATGTACCACATTGCTGCGTCATGGCTTGTGGACATGGCGGCTAACAATCAACCTCTTGACGTCCTGCTGAAGGAGATTGAGTCCATTGATGCATCTCCGAGCACTGCCGCTGTGTTTGTACCAAGTCTGTACGTGGTATTGACACACCAATCATCTCTCTACGCCAGCACCGTTCTAAAGCTGCTATTGAAGTTTCTACCGTTCATGAGCAGTGCCGATCAGTCCCTGGGTGCTTTGCCCTTGTACTGTGCTACTACGGCTTCTGCTCCATCGTCGTCGTCAGCAGCTGCTGGCAGTGGTGTGGCCGGTGGTGAGAGCACAGCCGCTGCTACTACGCTTCTGGCGTGTCAGACTGCCATACAGAATAGCCTGGTGTTGGCTGGTGGCAGTCGTAGCAATGCTACTGCAGGTGACGGTGCCGCTGCTCACAGCCCGAATGGCGAAGACACCACCGCCGCCGCAGAGTCAGTTCGAGTCCCGTTCGTCAGCTCGCTGTCGCAGTACATCCGCTCTGCAGCCCGCCTGCCGCTCCTGTTTCAACGCCAACCCGAGCTGTGTAAGCTATGGCTTGATCACATGCAGTCGGAATTGAAGAAGATAGATGCGCAGGTTGCTATGGACACGCCGTCCCTGTACAAGTTCTCCACGGTGGCAATGGTGGTCAGCTCCGTCCTGGTCTCGGCATGGTCGAGCAGAGAGCTACGCTTGGCGTGCGTGTCTGCTGTGCAGAGTCTGGCTGTGGCATGCCCTCCGCTGGTGAGTCAGTGGTGTATTGGAGCTGCGCATACATCTGCATGCCTTCAGCTGTGTGTGCCCGAGTCTTTGCGCCTTAGCTCGTGCTGTACGTACGTGTGCGCACGCAATTGTTTGTGTTCAGATGCTCACGTGTTCCATGTGTTCGCATGTTCACGTGTCCAAGCACAATTTCACTTCAGTGCACCAGTGAATCTGCCACCTCCTTCCATTACAGCATCATGCATGTGTCCATGGATGAATGTATCCGGTATCGCATCGCAGTTTGCTACGCAAAATCAATCTACTGCTACTCAAAAATCACAGTGACACGCAGAAAACTGCCATACATACACATACAGGCTATCCATGCCTTTTTGTAGCTTACGCCACAATTGAGATTTTGCATAGCAAAAACTGCTATGCTAAAACACGACAGTAAATACATCCCTGCTGTCCAGACTGGTTTCCACAGCACATGTGCATGTACCCTGTACATAGGTAGCCGTCTGGACCGCTTTATTCCGGTGTGCTCCGTGTGGTGTAGAACAGGTGTGTAGTGTGGCGGTTGATTCATCACATGGCTTTGCAAGCTGTGTGGATTGGGCTGTTAGCCGTTATCTGGCGCAAGTCTGGATCTGTTTGATTTAGATCGTGTCTGCTGTCGTTGCCGTAAAAAGGCAATCAGTGCGTGTACATCCAGTGCACTTTGCAGATTTGCATGCTCCGTCGCCGAACCGCATGAACAGGCTATCCAGAGTCGCAGCACACTCTTGAGAGCTTATACTCTCGGTACAGTCGTCGCCGAAAACAATCTGGCCAATGCTATGCTAGCTGCACGGTGCATGGACCGTTTGCACTACCACTAGTGCACTGCACATGCAATGAGTCACTATACCCTGCATACAGTCAACTTCGCTGATAACGACTGCGGATATAATTATAACGACAATTCGCGAATAACGAAAGAATTTTCATGCCCAGAGCAAAGTCCCATCTAACTGAAATACATAAAATGAGACTTCGGGTATATGGACACTTCGGGAATAAGGACACTTTTCTGATGCCCCGCTGAGTGTCGTTATATGCACAGTTGACTGTACTCACACTGCAACTCAGTGTATGCACTGCTGGTACAGTAAATATCGCGGGAAACATCGGCATTGGTTTTTTCGGTGACGACTGTAGTATGTTTGAAAGGTTTTTTGGTTTGCTTTTTTGCTTGGATAGCCTTGTGTGGTTTTGCTTTACGTGTCTCTGTCTGGTGTGTGTGTGTGTGTGTGTGTGTGTGTGTTGTGTACGTTTATACATCTGCGTGTATGTGTGTGCGTCCGTGTGTGTGTGTATGTGTGTGTGTGTGTGTGTGTGTGTGTGCGTGCGCGCCCGTGTGTGTATGTATGTGTGTGTGTGTGTGTGTGTGTGTGTGTGTGTGTGCACCTGTACACGCTTGTGTGTGTGTTCTGTTCTGCGCCCCACTCCTAGTCACATGACCTGCTGAAGATGCTGTTACGCTGTGTCAACGTCAGCACTATGGAGGCGGACGTGCAGCTAGCTATTCTACACACTCTGCCTGAGATGGTCACACACAATGTAAGTATAGCTGTTATATCGAAACCAGTCATAGAATTGGTAGACAAGCCATTGGCTAGCCACTTTTAAGGAAATTCTTTTTTTCACCGATAACTAAACGAGGCATGCGTTGCCCAGCCCTAAGGGTGCATTCATACCATCAAGAGTCCAAAACCCCAAGAGTGTGCAACTGGGGTCTGGCTGCTGTAGGCCCACTGAGCGGCGGAATTCCAACATTACGTCATGCTACTGAGGCGCCGCTGTACAAAACTCCGCATTCCGCGGTGCTTGAAACCAGGGAGTAGTACAAGCGCAACGAACATGTACGTCATTTTTGACGTAACGTTGGAATTCCGCCGCGCGGATCCCCACGTACAGAGTTGCACACTCTTGGGGTTATGGACTCTTGATACTATGGGATAGCGCGGCAGTAAAGGGAAATTTGTCATGACATTTCTCGAAATTCGCGCTCAGTAAACGCTAGAAAAAGCTAAAAAATTCTCAACCCCTTCTGAGGAGCTGGAAACCTTTACTGGCGGTACCGCACCAGTAAAATTATCATTATCACTGCTACCCAACATCCCGGTTTCTCTTCTTCCGCCGGGTCCTGCTGCTATCATAGATACGGTCTGGTGTAGAATGAATGTATTGCTGTTTGGTATCTGGCGCTGGTTGGTGGCAAATTCCCCGGCACGAACTCGAGAAGTATCACATTGTGGTCATCGGCATACAGGGATGCCCGGTAAGCAATCAGCAGGAGGGATGACTGGACGAGGCTCACCTGCTGTCCCCTTTGTGGCGGCGGCCGTGGCAAGAAGGACGATATGGTGTACCAAGAGAACATGAAAACCAGAGTGTGCAGCTCGGATGGGTTGCTGTCACCGCGGAATTCCGTGATTACATCATTTTAGTGATGTAGTGCGTACTCTTGGGTGTACGGACACCACTCAACCGTCTCAACATTCTAGTGGCAGTGTTCTGATGGGTTTCATCAGCTGCCTCCTTAGCGCAGTAGGCAGCGCGTCAGTCTCATAATCTGAAGGTCGTGAGTTCGATCCTCACAGGGGGCACTTGTTTTTTTTGCTATTCTATTTTGTAGCTCACCACTTGTGCAATTGTTCTTTGTGGCACCCGGTCCAAAGTGCAAGTGCACTCACTTCTAGTGGTGGAATGTGTCATAGTTTCAAATGGACACGTTCGTCGCAGTTTCTTTGGCAACTGTCATGTCAGCCCTTTTGTTTTTTACTGAAAGGTGGAAGATTCGATGGACTTCTCGAGTGCTCTGGATGACAATCGTGGGTCAGTCAAGTGTCAAGTCAAATTGGCGGAAAAGCGCGAGCTCCAGTGTGGGGAGCACACGCTTTCCTAACTACTGAAATCACGACAGATAAGTTTACATCGGGCTTCTACTTACCGACGCTTGAATGGAGGCTGATGGGAATGCAAGCCTGTAACTGATCTCTTGCATAGCCATCATATCCAACAGCAAAACGCCAAGCCAGTGAATGGGGTAACCGCTTGCCACAGCGCCAGTGAAAACCTGAATGAAAATATCAAGCTATTTTAAATATCTTGAAGTGCACACGCCTGATGTGCTGAAAACAACAACTGACAAAAGTGATTCTTGAAAAATACACTACACTTATCCCCCTCCCCCCCCCCCCCCCCCCCTCCCCGAGACACACACATAGCACTGTAGAATGGGGTTGCATTTTTGTTGTTTTGCCATGTGATTATGCAATCACCATTGTGAAACGAGGGTTGCCTGCTGCTCCTCGTTGATAGTATTGAAAAAAAATCAAGCCCATCTGCTACTGCTAGCTGCCAGAACTGATGATGACACTGCGATCGCCACCTCCAACTGCTGAGGTGCCTCGTGCTTGTAGGCTGTGTAGCACCACCACAGCTTGGTCCGCCCTGCGTTGCCCCGGCATCGTACTCTCGTACACAGCCCATGCTGCCGCACTCTCGCGTGGTGGCCCTCGTGAGTACGCCTTACGCCATTTGCGCTTGCCACGCGCTTATGCGGCCCATGCCGGGTCCTCTATGCTCTGTCTTCCTGCCCGTGGCCCGCCTTACCTGGTGGGCTTGCGCGCCTTATTTCCCATATAAGCATGGTGGTGTCTGTTATCGTGGGTCCGGTGGCAACCGGGGACTTCGTCTTTTCCATGCGTGGTATGCTTTTCTCCGCCATACTGCCTGTCTCTGCCTGGCACTGTACTAGTCCTTTCCCCATACCGCCTTGTTGCAGTTTTGTCTTGCATCCTCGGTTAGTACATGTACTGTGCCTTGCCGCTTGGCTGAAGCATAGTACACGCGCTGGAGCCCTTTCGTGCCATGAAAGGACCTGCTTCCTAATATAGAGACTAGGCACCATGAGCCCTGTCTGTAGTAATCCTTGCATTAATAGCACTACAGCATTTATGCAAGTACATGTATGGGGTAGTCTGGCCTGTGGGCGCCGGGCGTACTAGTGCTCATGGTGCAACCTGGCCTTTTCCTAGTATGGTTGCCCGCCATTGCATGCCAGACACCCCCATTGTTGCGCGCCTATGCATGCCAGACACCCCCATTGTTGCGCGCCTAGCCACGCGCGTGGCTTTTGCCTGCTGCTCGGTTGTCCGCGAGAACTACGGTTTGCCGTACGCTGAAAACCTACATTTTCTTCTTGAAAGAATGATCAGGTTGATCTTGAACTGTCCAGCAAGCTTCTACCACATCCAGAGACTTGCGCAGTAGGCAGCGCGTCAATCTCATAATCTGAAGCTCGTGAGTTCGATCCTCACAGGGTGAACGTGGGTTTTTTCGCTATTTTATTTTTCAGCTCATCACTTGTGCAATTGTTCTTTGTGGCACCCGGTCAAAAGTGCAAGTGCACTCACCACTAATGTGGGGAACACTCCCTTTCCTTACTACTGAAATCACAACAAATAAGTTTATATCAGGCTTCTACTGACCGACACTTGAATGGAGGCTGATGGGAATGCAAGCCTGTATCTGATCTCTTGCATAGCTATCATGTCCAACAGGAAACGCCGAGCCAGTGAATGGGGTAACTGCTTACCACAGCGCCAGTGAAAACCTGAATGAAAATATCAAGCTGATCTTGAAGCCTGATGTACTGAAAACAACAACTGACCTTCGCCCAATTCTCGATGATCAGAGCCAGAAGTGATTCTTGAAAAATAAACTGCACTTTCTTCTTGAAAGAATGATCAGGTTGATCTTGAATTGTCCAGCAAGCTTCTGCCAGATCCAGCGACTGAAAAAGTGAAATACTCAACACCATAACGAGAAGAACCAGTGAGTTTGATCCTCACAGGGGGCACTTCCTTTTTCGCTATTTTCTGTTTTAGCTCATCACTTGTGTAATTGTTCTTTGTCGCAGCCGGCCCAAAGTGCAAGTGCGCTCACCACTGGTGTGGGGAGCACACCTTTCCCTTACTACTGAAATCACAACAAATAAGTTTAAATCAGGCTTCTACTAACCGACGCTTGAATGGAGGCTGTTAGGAATGCAAGCCTGTATCTGATCTCTTGTATAGCCATCATATCCATCATATCCAACAGCAAGCGCCGAGCCAGTGAATGCGGTAACGGCTTGCCACAGTGCCAGTGAAAACCTGAATGCAAATATCGAGCTATCAAATCTTGATGTCCACGCGCCTGATGTACTGAAAACAACAACTGACCTTCGCCCAATTCTCGATGATCACAGCCAGGAGTGATTCTTGAAAAATAGACTACACTTTCTTCTTGAAAGAATGATCAGGTTGATCTTGAACTGTCCGGCAAGCTTCTGCCAGATCCAGCGACTGAAAAAGTGAAATACTCAACACCAGAACGAGAAGAACAACCGAGTAGAGTCTCGTCTTGATCAGCGCAAAGTGACTGATCTTGCAGAACTACGTGCATCAGGAGTGGAAAAACAAGAGTGTACCTGTGCAACTTACTTCGCATATAATAGTGCCCCACCGCCACTCAGGCACTCTGGGAGTACTTGAATGCTAGATCCAGAGACATAGCGCAGTAGGCAACGTGTCAGTGTCATAGTCTGAAGGTCGTGAGTTTGATCCTCACAGGGGGGACTTGGGTTTTTGGCTGTTATCTTTTAGCTCATCACTTGTGGAATTGTTCTTTGTGGCACCCGGTCAAAAGTGCAAGTGCACTCACCACTAATGTGGGGAACACACCCTTTCCTAACTACTTTAAATCACAACAAATAAGTTTATATCAGGCTTCTACTGACCGACACTTGAATGGAGGCTGATGGGAATGCAAGCCTGTATCTGATCTCTTCCACAGCCATCATATCCAACAGGAAACGCCGAGCCAGTGAATGGGGTAACTGCTTACCACAGCGCCAGTGAAAACCTGAATGAAAATATCAAGCTGATCTTGAAGCCTGATGTACTGAAAACAACAACTGACTTTCGCCCAATTCTCGATGATCACAGCCAGAAGTGATTCTTGAAAAATAAACTACACTTTCTTCTTGAAAGAATGATCAGGTTGATCTTGAATTGTCCAGCAAGCTTCTGCCAGATCCAGAGACTGAAAAAGTGAAATACTCAACACCATAACGAGAAGAACCAGTGAGTTTGATCCTCACAGGGGGCACTTCCTTTTTCGCTATTTTCTTTTTTAGCTCATCACTTGTGTAATTGTTCTTTGTCGCAGCCGGCCCAAAGTGCAAGTGCGCTCACCACTGGTGTGGGGAGCACACCTTTCCCTTACTGCTGAAATCACAACAAATAAGTTTAAATCAGGCTTCTACTAACCGACGCTTGAATGGAGGCTGTTAGGAATGCAAGCCTGTATCTGATCTCTTGTATAGCCATCATATCCATCATATCCAACAGCAAGCGCCGAGCCAGTGAATGCGGTAACGGCTTGCCACAGTGCCAGTGAAAACCTGAATGCAAATATCGAGCTATCAAATCTTGATGTCCACGCGCCTGATGTACTGAAAACAACAACTGACCTTCGCCCAATTCTCGATGATCACAGCCAGGAGTGAT